AGCAGGAATAAATCACGTCAAAGCACTTTGGTGGCCGTTTGTCAATGCAGGGTCATTGACAGCTTCCATTAGCAACAAGTGCTATTTCTGAGTGGAGCACAGGCTATAGATGCAGTAGGACAGAATCTGAATAAGTGGCAGGCTTGGATTTTAGCCTGATTTCCTAAGGAAATGAGGCTAGTATGATCTTTTTGTGCATGTCCGTCTGGCTGCCTGCAAAGACATTTGAACTTGTAGGTCAATTTCAACCAAATTTGACAGAAGGAAAGGAGGTCTCAAGGATAATAATTGTTGCCGAAGCTTTCGTGAAAAGAAGTGGCTGAATAGAGGTTAATAAATCAGGACATGTCATAGCTAAGGGGGTGAATAGTGTGTGAACTCACACCTGATTAAACAGCAGAGAATACATGAGAGAGAGAGAAAGAGAGAGATTATTAAATGTTCTGCCCATAAGAAAACTTTCACAGGGCAAGGAAAAAGTGTTGCTGTAGCCTGAGGGATTACTCCCTGCTGAATAGCAACATCCTGCAGCAAATAACCAGCCCTTAGCCTTGTAACTGAGATACAAATCCATTGGAAATTAGGCCATTAATACCAATGCTCATAGAACTATTTGCTTTTAATTGTAACAAGTTGCTTGGAAATGCCCGCAGCTGTCAATAATAATGAACAGGAGAAAGCATGTTGCCTTTTGCTATTAATAGTGATTGTATAATTGCTAAAAGAGTTTACATGAAATTCTCTTTCATTTTAGCAACTGCAAAGTGACAAGTGATCCAAGCCACATGATTCATTAACTGAACAGTCCTAAATTATCACGATGTACCAAGTATCATGAAATGAGCATATGCAGTACCGTGCTTATTTGGCCTCCAAAATCATCCTTTGCCCCCTAGGGAGATAAATTCTTTATATATATATATATGTATGTACACACACACACATATCTGAGTTGTAAAATGCCAAAAAAAATTTGCTACTTCCCTCACGGGAACTCTTCAGGAAAATATTGCCAAAATTGCTTGATGTTCTGAGGGTCTGGCTCCTGACACCATCAAAATAATTGCAGATATAAACTGTGTTGGGAGTTACCACATATCAATAACTGTAGAGAAAGCCCAGCTTCCCCATTTAATCCTTTTCTCCAAGTAATTAGACTTACATTCTTCTTCTGCTTGCTGCCCACTTTCCCAAGGGGTATGAGGTAGGACAGCCACTCTCCTAACTCCATAGAAAGGGAGTGAGAATGTAAAAAAGCTGTCCTTTGAGCCCAGCGCATTTACGGGGTGATGATATGCATTTTCCAACTACACAGTCATGATATAGACAAGAGCACATAGTTCTAGGGGAAAGAAGCAAAATGGTTGAGAGTCTAGTTTCTCCTGTAGCACTCCTTCATTTATGAATAGGGTTCCAGTGACCTTTTCCTGCTAGAAGGAGAGATGAGAGATCAGTGTAACTTACGTGGGAGGAGAAGGGTGAGCTGGCTCATGTCCTTTCCCCCCCCGCCGCCGCCCATTCTTCAGGTCTAGCACAGAGTGCCACCAGCCACAGTCCCTCGTGAGTCCCTTGGCTTCAACCTGCTGCTCTTTCTAGCTAATATAATTCTTCCACTATTGCCAGAAGTACCAGTCTGCATTGCAGTGCTGATGGGAAAAAGGTCAAACATTCAGGACATTTGATACAACAAATGTGTTATGCAGGATTGTTTACAGGTTGCAAAGATAGGCACTCTGACCTTAGAAAATGCAAGATTTATAGTTGGTCATACAACAATAACATCTGTGTTGTGCACCTGAGTTAAGATTTTTAACTGTGTGTTCACAGGCCCTTTCTCCACAGGGAGATACATAAATACATAAATGTAATTTTCCATGCCACATACATTATTAGTTTTTTTAATATGAACCTTGCCAAATATGTAATGCTTTGAATGTGAGAAGAGTAGCTGAAGTAGAAATGTCCTTAAGGGAATAAAGATGGAATTAGTGAAAGTGGATTTT